ATGGATTATGGAAGGCTATTTAACTTGGCCCCGTCCTCAGGAAAACGGAGCTTTTATTTCTGCGGTTAGGTCACACTAAACCGATCCGAAAACGGAACTTTTTCAAAAACGCTCTTTCAACCGGAAGAATTTGAAAACGGAGCTTTTCAAAAACGATGACATTACGACAATCCTGTATTTCCCCGCACGAGTCTTCCTCAAACACAAATCCAAAATAACCGGCGATTGTTGCGTTTTCAAATTTCTCCGGCGCAGTGTGGACGGACGATTTGATGCGTTTTCAGAGTGAAACCTCCGTTTTCAAAATCCCTTTCCATTTCCCTTCTCGATGAAAAGGAAGGCAGGCATGGAGGTACCCCGAATTCTGCTTCGGCATGTCACCCGGTATTCATGGTCTGCTATGCTTTAAACTAACTCTTTTTGTTTTTTGTTTTGTTTTGTTATTATTATTATTATTATTATTATTATTATTATTATTATTATTATTATTATTATTATTGTTATTATTGTTCTCCTTCTTATTATTACAAATATGTACCTTTGATGGGCTTTATATTTCGGTTATGTTTCACGTGTCAAACTCGCGGCACGTAGTAAACGTGATATTGGAGGAGTTTTTTTTTTTTTACCCTCGAAAATTTCCCTTCCAGTGCACTGGTTTAATAAACGAAGTTTGAAGGGAAGTGTATTCAGACTAATTGCTCAATCTTATTTATTTTTTTTAAGGAAAACTTGGCCTCTTGTTTTTATTTCAATCTTTATGTGGAGATTAAGCGTGTTTCGCCTGGTGTGTTCGTGTACTTCATGTGTTCATTTCTCTTCATGTGTTGTTCATGTGTTGTTCATGTGTTTTTGGTCAACAATGTCACGCTTCACGCAATCGCCAGAACGCGCAGGCGGAAAATAAAGGAAACCATTGCCCATGTAAGGGTACAGAGCATTTCATTGGTCGAATTTTCTAGACTGGATGGCAAAGTAAAGTTGCTTAACAGAACGCTGATGAGCAAGAAGTCAAAGTGGAACTTGTGCTATTAGAGGCTTCGTTGGGACGTGAAAAGATGTAGTTTACCCTCTTTTCTTTACAGGCCTTCTTCTTCTACCATGGCTGCGAACCTTCCTTACGAGATAAGCAAGTTTCAAGAGCATTCGAGGTTGTTGAAGCAGATAAAGCGAGATACGAACCGATACTTTCAAGAAATTCAAGATTCCGGACAGTTCAGCCAAGACGTGTTGTCTGCGTACCTTCCCGAAAACGAGTATCAGTCCTTAGCGAGGGTTTGTGAGAAACCGCCAACGATCATTGTAATCGGACAAACGTGCTTCGCCAAAGTCTGCGTGATAAACGAGCTTCTGGGAGAACCTGTCCTTCCCGTAGTCGGAGAGCTTGATAGCCGCACATCATGGCGGATGATTCGAATAAAGTACGGGAATATTTCCAACGTAAGTCTCGTTTTGCCCGATAGTTTTGAACTAGCGGCCAACCTGGACGCGTATGAAGGCTCGTGGGAATGTGTTCCTAGAGCAGATCTTGAACTTACGGACCTACAAAGAGACGATCCAGCATTGGCGACTGCAGTGGCCGAGGTCTCATTAAGCCATCCATTGTTGAAAGCGGGGGCCGAGTTGGTTTGTTCGCCAAGCAATCATGAAGGCGACGTACAGAATATATTTCGTGCCTGTTGTGAGGATGTACTGCCAATTGTTCTTTACGCCATAGAGTTTGATATTTTGACTGAAAAGGTAGGTAGAGAAGTCGTAAATAGAATGCTATGTATTTCTCCTGATTTATTGTTCTTTTGAAATTTGCTCGAGCGCGTGCGAAAACTCGTTTTCTCTTGCATAATTTTGTGAGAGTTGGACCTCTAACAGAGAAAAGAACTTTGAAAAGACTTGACTCGACAACATTGTACATTGAGACAAAACTGACACTCGATCGGCTTTTTAATTGTACAAAATATTTAAAGTAGCTGTGTCCATGTTCCTATTGTTGCCTTTTGTCGTATACAGTAACCCTAATTGCTTTGAAAATATGTTCAGCATTAGATGTCGAGAAAAGAAAACAATTCCAACAGCTTTTATGGATTGCCACATGAATAGAGGTTTACATGATTGTATGTGTGCAACAAGTAGAGGAAGTGAATAATCCATTACAGTTCACATACACCCCCTGGCCTCCCTCCCTTCCCCCCCTCCGTAGAGGAGGTAAGGCAAACTTCGCCCTTCCTGAAAATGAAAACAGAATGCTTCTTTTAGAGGTAAACATTTTTTTTTCTCTTACCCTCTTAGAAAATACACAACTTTCTCTTTCACCTCCTCAGAAATATTTACTCATGACAAGTACATGTAAGGTCAGCACAGACCTTAAATCTAAGCTGTTTAGCAAAATGTGCACTGTAAGCATGCTTATGGAAACATGTTAAGCTCAATCACAACAAGCTATATGCTGGCAGCCATCGCAGATCAAGTGTGCTCAACTCTCTTAAATTGATAAAAAATTGTGCAGTTGGACTCTATGACACCAATATTTTGAAATACATTTAGTTTCGGTCATTTAAACTCACCTTGTATTGTGACTTGAATCTGCTCATGAGTGCCTTAGGACTGTTTTTCACAAGAGTGTGTGAGAAGATATATTGTGTGGAGTGGTTTGTCTGCAAATGTTCTCAACTCATCAGGCTACAATAATTACACATTTATTACAAGTTACTGTACATGTGCTGTAAATTTATACTTTCATGGTTTCATCACATGCTGTTAACAGTGTTCTGCCCATGCAATGAACTGAGCTTTTGACAGGGTGTGCAGGTGCACGACCACACATTTCAGTCGAACCAACACAATAACACATAAATTCTTAAAAATCCACAAAATCCCACACAATCCTGCAAAAAGATGAGTTATCGCTTATTAGTTTTTGATAACTGAACAGTCCTCATGCTAGATCAGAAGAATTACATTGTATTAATTTCAATGTGTTAGAGCTATTTCTGGTTTCAGTAGATAACCAATGTTTCTGTTACTTTACAGCTGGCATGTTGCTGTCAGGCTAGATGACACCAACATGGTGTCTCTATATAAAGCTCTGAATAAGTATAAATTTGGGTGAAACACTTTTCCAAATAATGTGCAAATGAAAAACCATACTGGTCCCTGGACCTAAATCTTGACGAGAGGGGGTTATGTATCAATCATCTAGCAATCCCAGACACTTGACTATAATTATTGAATGGTTACAATTTTTATTTTTGATGGCATGACAGTGAAAACCAGCAATGTACACACAGTCTTATATTGATGGAGTAGTCAAACTCTCCTCAACTACATCAGGCAATGGATGGGTAAGCTTCAGCTAAAGAAGCCACGAGAAAGTAAATGCAATGGAAGGAAGATCACTGATATTATATTGGCAGGGAAAATGGAAAAAAAAATTGGAAAGTAACGAGAACCTGAAATACAGCCAAGCGATTTTATCACTTGCTTTGGTGATCGGATAGGAAGTGGTACATGTACTTTCTTAGTGTGACTGTTTTCAACGGTGTCACATCTCCTTGAGTATTCTCTTACTGTTGCGTTATAAAGGAGAAACTTGTAATGACCTATGGATTAAAAACTCAGTTCACTGGCGCCAATGGTACCATGTCATGGGCTCAAGTCAAATCTCATTCTAATTCTACCAAACAGTCATAAAAACAGCAGAGTGACAGCAATTTTTAAAAAGAAACAACATTTTTCATTTTACAAAACGTGTTTCGACATTCCTCT